TGCCAGATAGTCGACAGGCTTCACGGCCAAACACACGCCATCTCACGGCCAAATTCGGCCAAACTTTTTTTCGATATCGGCCAAAATTCGGCCAGATTATCCGATTAGAAGACAACAGTGGGTACATATTCATTTGAAATACTACAAAAATTATACGAAAATCAGATTTCATTCGTTTGGAATTGGAGAAATTCAAATTATATACACAGAACAATGTTAAACTTCCACTGTTTTTCTTCTTTTAGTTATCACCCTAAAATACATTTCCAGCTACATCATAGTATTAAATAGCCTATAAAAAAGGGTAAAGGTAGGAGAATAACCCATAACTTGCAGCGTCATTGTGCTGAATTGCGTATGGGCGTGGTCCGTGACTACCTAGCAGCCGTAAAGAGGCGCTTCATGGTAGATATACATGTTCACATCATTCCACAACGACAATGTTCTTTTGTTGAATCCAGAAATGTCCGAAGGGGGAGGGGCCGGGGCCGAAAAGGGGAGCGGGAGGGGAGAAAAGGGGGAAGATCAAGATAACACCATCTTGGAGGAAATTTTGTTTTCTAGACGCCGGAAAATAACCTCTGATGCGTTTAGGCGATCAATTATTTCCTTCTTTTTTTTCTTTTTTTCTTTCACACCTCCCCCCCCCCCCAAACCTAAGTCCGCCTCTGCTATTTAAAATCACCTTTTTAAGGTTGATTTAAATGTATTAATTATTAAGGTACATTGTAGTCGATCTATAGCATAGTTACCAACTGTCTCGCATCGCGGGACGGTCTCGCATTTCAAAGTGATATTGGATGAAACACGCATTTTGCAGAAACACATGCGTGATCCATAATTTGTCATGCATTAGCACAAATCTATACGTGATAACGAATTATCATAAATTCAGGTGAAAATGTATTTAAAATTAAAGAAATTGGTTTTATTAAAAAACTTAAACGATCATGCAGTAACTGGAGTCATTAGAGAGTACTTAGTATTTACGTGAATATTTATTTCACTGACGCGTTACTAAAAATTTATCAGTGAAACGTTTAGGTCAACATAGTTCGTGCTCAATAACATTGAAACTCAAAATATTTTTGCTTATGTACCCGGTATTGTCAACACACATTCCCTCAAATCGTTTTAAAACAGCTTTAATGCTCAGATCGTCAGAGCGCCTGGGGCCACGCCCCCTCGACCCCAGTGGAGCTCCGCCTATGGACCCCGACCCCCTCCCCCAGCCAAATGGTGTAGTTACTCACGCATTTCAAATCTCTTAGGTTGGTAATTATGCTATAGCAAAACTTTTAAGGGCCTTTTATTGGCAAATCCGTGGCTCTCTTAATTAGAATGAAAGTTACATTAGGTAACACAAACTGGCGTTAAAACAAACCTATGAAAACCTTAATACTTTTTTTATGTAAACTTTCTAAATTCGCCTCTGAATGTTAAAGCAATAAATCAATGTTGCTATCAGAATTATCTTCTTCATTCTCATATATACAACCTAACTCCAGAGTAACCGAAGAATCTGCGACGCTTGCTTGAAATCGGAGGTGGCCATCGGACCAGAATGATCACATCGAGGATTTATATGGCGCTCTACAGAACACTGCAGACCTAGTCCTATACAATTCAAGTGGGCAATAATAAATTTATTAAAGTAGGCCTACAGTATTTAATTTATATTCAAAAGAGATAGAACCTCCACTAGGATGGTACATATACAATGACACACAATAGGCCCTATATGGTACAAACTTGCATTGAACTGTCCTCATAAAGCTTAAACGAGTATAAACTTCATATAGGCCTAAATTATATATATATATATATATATATATATATATATATATATATATATATATATATATAATATATATATATATATCAAATCGGCTAGGGGTCCGTGTACCATAAGGCCTAGATTAAGTGTTAAGTGCAAATACAAACAAAAGGTACATAATTAGAATCAAACATAGAATTTAAGCTAACAAACACAACATATCCAAAACAAGTCTACGTTATATTAGGCCTATATTGAAAAAAAATTTAAACTTTTCAAAAATTCGGCCAAATATAGTTTGGACGTAACTTTTCAAACGTTACGGCCAGGCAATTTTTTATACGGCCAGATTTGAGGAATCTGGCCGTCAAAAAGGCCAAATAGCAACCCCGATTATAGGTGGGGGGGGGGGACATTATAAGTATGATTGGGGGCGCTATGACAAATTCGACAGTTCTGCTTTAAATACAGTATACCGAAAGGTTCACTGATTACAATCTCAGATAAGAAAGTATAATACATACTCCAAGTATTCAAATGCACACCATCGTGTTGAGATTAAATAACACTTCTTTAAACAATAGGATAGACTAGTTTCGGGAGCTGTCAATAATGTTAGTACTATAAAATATTAAACCTAATTTATTACAATTACATTACAGACGAAATTATCATTTTCAAGTATACCCTGAAGCCTAAAACATATTGGAATGCCCCCGCAGTTTTTAACACTATCAGATCGTGAAGAATGTACTTTAAGTCTAGTTAATTATTAAGCACCTATCTGTCTTTCCAATATAATCATTAAAGCCTGGACATTTAAAATGATAGACAACAGAACTTCTGTACTCCTTAGGGGTTTGATATTTTATAGATATAAAATGAGAAACATTTTTATACTGCCATAAATTTATGAATTTTACCTTTTTAATTAAGTGTTTCTTTACCTTATTTAAACTTCTATGTAAAATGAATTCACCTGGTTTTCCTAGATAAGGCAATCTAACCCAAATCTTAATCAAGCTAATATCAGTAGGCCTATCTATACATTTAGGTTCATTTAATTTCTTAAGTACAATATTAACAACTTTTAGGGTACCCATTCCAAGACATAAACTTCCTAATGTTACTAAGCTCTGCTTGAAGTTTATCAAAAGTACACAATCTGTGGGCTCTAGAAACTAAACTACGAATCCAGGAGATCTTATGGTTCCATAGAGAAAAGCTATCATAAGATGGACATATTGACCTGTATGTGTATTTTTACGATTTTAACATCCCGCAAGACAGGGCTAAGAATCTCGCAAGACAGGGCTAAGAAAAATCGAGTTAAAACTCAATGAGTGTTCCTCTGCACGGAAATCTTTAGTAAAAGGCGAAAGGTTTATGCGTGATGCAGAGAAACCAGAGCGTCACAGACTCACAGCAGCGTGGCCACTCACAATTTTTGATATACCCAATGACTGGGTCGAAATTACCCAAGATTCAGCAAAAATTGCCCAAAATCACCCAAGCTTCCTGAAAATGCATTAACTTTGGAAAAATACGTGTTTTTCGCATGTATAGTTTCCCTTTTCGTTCAATTTATAAACCATTTTTTATTGTAATTGTTTGTGTTAATTATTAAAATTAATATTCATGAGGTGATAATACACGGATAGAACAATACGCCCTCAGTCGGCCAGTGTTACCAGTGATCAAGTTTTATTATGTAATGCATTAATTAGGTAAGATCAATGGCAACGCAAATCACAAATAAACAATTCTGAACCCATGATTATAGTAATTAACAGTCAATGTTATGTGCGCTTCGTTGAGTTTTGCTAACTTGATTGGACTGACATATACTTTGTTACTTCTTAACTTTTCCTCTACGACAGAAATATTTAATTTTCTTAGCAAAAAATAAAATACCCAAGGATTTGAACGGAATACCCAAGAACCCAAGTCAAAATACCCAAGATCTTGGGTAAATACCCAAGCAGTGGTCACGCTGGGTCATGATCACAGCATGCGGTTTATAAAGTATATGTATCATATATTCTATCGTATTGGAATGATGTTGTTTTCTCACTTTAATTAAATCATGTTATAAATGATTATAATTCTGTAATATTATCAAATGATACAATCGATTGTAGTACAATATAATTGCAAAATAGATTGTATATTTGTGACAATGCACATAATAACATTAATGAATATGCATAAGTAGCTAACTATAGAGGGCGACGATAATATTGTACTCTATTATACTAGAGGAGCTCCTAAACTTTCCTTTATTGTGGATAATTTAATAATTAATCATTCTTCATATCAAGAGAGGTAGGCCCGTAGCTTGTTGTAGGGATGACATTAATATTTTGAGAGGGCACCAAGTAAGGGTTCACACAAAACAAGGTATGGTAATTGGAATCACTCATCAAAGACACAAAACGGGTGTTTGACGAAAACTCGGGAACGGTTTAGGGCTCTCCATAGTTTTCCGCATTTTAGAGTACAACTTAAAAACTGGAGGAAAAGTCGAAAAAAGAGGTACACTAGGTTTTAAATATTCAAAATTCCCACTAAATGGCTGCACTCTCAAATTCTAAAGGGTCTTACTTCGACAGTCACATTCAATTTTAATACAATACATGTTTATAATAATATGTACAATACAATATTATTTCAACAAATATTTTGTGAAATTGTGAACAAATAGCTAGATTTCTAACGAAATTTAATGAAAAACCTTAAAATTTATCGCGTTTATTTTGAAACTTGTACGGTATGCAACCCTCCAAGTACGATACTGGCGCGATTCTGGCCTTAACTAACCAGCATCAACTTTAAACCTAATTAAAGACTACATTCCTTTTATTGCTGAGGTTTCGAGGTTAGAATAATAACTGTTAATAATTGTAAAGACCTATACATTATGAAACCATGGAGGTATACTTTTTTATACCTCCATGATGAAACATACAAATTATAAATAGGCCCCTATATTTTGCTGCTCATTTGTTATTTTTTACTACTTTGATAGGCCTATATTCATGTTTGAGGGTGGGGGCGCACACAAATGTAACCGGTGATCATGCCCCCTGCCCCCACCGCGCTCTTAGCTGCCGGCCTGCCAACAGGTCAGTGTCATGGTCTATGATCTGTTTGTATACCAGGGAAATGTGTACATTTTATACTAACATTTTCGGAAATTTAGAAACGACACGCAAAGGTGAAAACAGATCGTCATGACGTAAATTGATTAGGGCCTATGCATCGGTGTGATACTGTTGGCAGGGACAGTCATTCACGAGAAGTTTTAATTTAACGGTTCCTGTGGATTAACAATTACTGGCAGCCTGGCAGGGTTGTATCGAAGGTGCAATGCGTGCGTCATGTGCAGTTGACCTTCGTTAAAAAAAGTTTAGGCATGTATCCGGGGGAAGGGGGAGGGGTTTTGGGTGTGATGTCTGCGTAGGTAATCCTTCTACCCTTCTGAAATCGGAAGAGGTCCACATTTTTAAGACAGTCGAGAGTGTACCGAATATAAATTATATAAAATAGTATTACAACACTTAGTCCAAGAGTGCCATTTCCGTGCATCGAGTGTTACATTTTTACAATTTTTTCTGGCGTCCCAGTCTAACCACAGTGGAGTCGAGGTGGTAGGTCCCCTGTCGAAAAACTTGTACCCTCATCTGGCCTACCGGCCAGTTCTTATTCTTTGTATAAGCACAAACTTACATAATAAGGCAACTTAACACCTGTTCCTGTCTGTATTCGATATTCAATTTAATTAATATTATAGTAATTATTTTCAGAAGACAAAAAAATAAAATTATTAAAAATGTCATGCACTCGGTTTATATGTGCTGAATCATTGAATTCATTCCTCAGTGGCGGGTCCAGAATTTTTTTAGCAAAGGTGGCTATCCAAAACCTATTTTCGAGAAAGATCAAGGTTTTGCGGAGTTCCCTTACCAATCTAAATTATTTCACTTCACACTCGGTTAATGACTTTATTTCCGGCTGCCATTGGGGTGGGGATGCCGAGTGCCCCTTTTGCACACCCTGGATTCACGACTAAATTATGTCTGAAACAATGGAGTTATAATGTTTCTGAAAGTTGTCTCGGGTACATTATATCATTATATCTTATAACAAAGTGAAATTATGAATATGTAACAGCGAAAAATTCTACTTATCACCTCTACTGGTAATCTATCCCATGCTATAGGAAATTACAATAGTAATACAGTAAATTACAATACATTATGAAAATGTCTGGAATTATAAATGAAACAGGATAATTCTTCTGTTTTTCTTAAACTCAAATCATCGTTATAATATATCTCTGATGGAGATGTCTATCTATGCTCAATTTTATACATCAAAGGTGTTCAGTGAAAACCAGTCAAGTAAAGCACGTGCAGCACACACATAATAATATTTAATACATCACATGATATACATAGGCCTGTGTGTATAATGAAAACCAATCCTAACAAGTTTTTGGGGAATTAATTAGAAACACATTTAAAAGTACTGTAGATTATATCTTCTTTGGAAATGAATGGTTGTGAATCTCCGGCCGACCGTGTGCCAAAAGAGAACTCTTGTATTAAATCAACAGATGATTTCCTCTATAAACTAAATGAGTTATTTTTAGTCAAGAGTAAAAAACCATGGTGTCTTTTTGGGGACTTGATCCAAGAACCCTGAGACTGGAAGACAAGCATGTTACTGGTAAACTCACAATAATCAATCAATCAATCAATCCGTTACTAATTTATAGTAAGTACCTTGCCTAATGATAATGGGATTTTATCATCTTAGCCTTACAGCACATTTTACAGTATAAACAAAATTCTCTTGGTGATGTTTTCAATATTTCAACTATGGGCCTCCCAATTTATTGATTTTATAAAATTGATCACAATTTATTAATTTTATGCCTATATTCCAAGTTAAAATCTGTATAATTCCCCAATATATTATTAAATTTTTACTTGTATACCCAATGTATAACTGTACATCCAATTGTATATTCAATAACTGGAACACCTTCAGGTTTTGTATCCAGATTAATTCACAATGGATCTAAAGCATAATTTTTAGATTACGAAAAGAATACTTATTATTCAGCTAGCGTATACTATGTTTAATGTCATATTGCTCCTAGTATCAAAGACCATTCAAGTTACAAAATCATTTCAATACATTAACTATATACCTTATACCCAATTTATTAATTATAAACAATATACACTTTTTTATTATCTGTGACTTATTGAAATTTTATAATGCACTGGTATATGGCTATTAAATGAGCAATTAAGTACTATATATATATATATATATAACATGTTGGTGATGATCAAAAGATATCCAATCCACGTATGCTTCAATATATATAAAATAAGTAAGCAGAACAGAAATAACATTCTTCACAAGGTGACTACTTTGAAGCATAGCACATACATAAATGTTTTCAAATCAACTTATGCTTGCTTTAATTTCAGAGAAAAGAATTTTAGTGTACTTTGTTATACTATTGAGAATATACCGTAGATGTTTAAAACATCATTAGGGTACCAAAAATTACCAAATAAGTGCAGCGTCACTAATGCTTTTAGAAACTTTTGTGTGTCACATTCAAAAATGGTGCTTACTTCAAGAGCAGAGCATAATAAAAATGATAGTGTTATTATGTTTTACTTAAGCATATGTTAGTACTGTATGCAGTAGTTTTAATTCATGTCAAATCAGTTGTTTCATTGTCCAGATGACAACATCATGGCAGGTTGGCGAAAATGCACACTTGATAAGGCTGCAGTTAAAAATCTTTTGCCAAGTACAAAGGTTTGTTGCACTGCGATTTAGAGACATTGATACATATTTGACACAAGCGCTTATTTGATCATTTATGGTAACTGAATTTTACTGTTGGCTCAAACCATAAAAAAGTTTCAATTTCGATTATCAAAGCTTGTAGGCCTAATGGTCAAAAATTCCACCATGGGCGTCTCTAAGGTGATCATAGCACTGGCGTTCTGTATCAAATACCTTAGAACAAACCCAGCACATAGATTTATGACACTTAGTACAATGCATCTTCAGACATCCACCATTCTTCTCAATCAAGGCACCACATTTCTATTTTTTAAAAATGAAGAATATAAATGTACATTCATTACAATGTTGTCTTACATTTTCTAACTTCAGCTGCTCAAGTATATTTTTAAAATGTATATATGAGGCATACAAATCTTAAATCAAGAATACAATGCCTTGCACATTTCTTTTTAGGCAGTGGATATGTTTAAGTTAAGAAAAATAGGACCAGTCATGGAAGTGACCCAACAGGTAACAACAACCACCTTGTTAACAGTTAATACATAGCAAGAAAAAATCAAAGGAAAACATAAAATTAAAACCTTAATTGATTTCTTAAATTCTATTCATCCTAAAACAAAAACCATAAACATATATTATCTTACACAAGTTTTCACATCCTTCTGATTTTTCTTGGCCCAGTCCATTACACTGTCTGATGACACTTTATTAGCCTTGTATTCTCTACATGTCATACCAGGATGGTCAAGTCTACATGAAGTACAAAACTGCTGACTACACTGAGGACAGATGAATAATCCACCATCACGTGACACACGGTAAACCATTGTACAATTCGGTGTAATACAGTACTTATATTCACCGTTGCTCTTTTGTGCAATAAATGCATCCAGGGTTGCTGCATAAAGCCTCTCTCTAGTCTGCCCGCTTCGGGTTAGTATGTTGATATCACACATAAAAAGCAACTGTGGACAATTCTCACGTGGACAAATGACTGGGAACTCTTTTGACTCAACACTATGCTGGAGTAGATTCATTAAGCATTCTTTACAATAGTTGTGACCACATCCCTCCAATCGGTGAGAATCATTCTCAACAGGTGAGAAGCAAACGCCACAATCATCCTCCTCAATAACATCCTCTTGGTCCAAGTCTATTCCTTCTTGCTGCAGACAGTCTTTAATTAGACCACGGATTTTGTTTTGGGTATCGGATTCTCCATAAACTACCACAATCCTTGATTTAAATACATATGAAACAGACTCTGCACCACTGCTCATCTTCAAATTGTTCAAATCAGGACCAAAAACTTTCCGTAGCATCTGCAAAGCTCTACCTTTGGCTTTTGTAAATTCACCAAGCTCAATTTCACAAAAATTACTCTCAGCTTTAGAGATAAACGCATTTATGGACTCTTTCATATTCTGTATACCTTCATCACTGCCATATATCCTTATGACCTTATCTCTTTGATCAAGAAATGCATGTGTAGCGGTAGTCTGTTGAACCGCATCTAAGAATTGTCGCCAATAGTTTCCACTGATTTTCCTCAGTACCCTACTACTTGCTGCGACCATTAGTTCTTCTCCATTGATCAACTTGACAAACTCGGCTTTTACATTCATCAGATCATCCGGATTGTTACCTTGAAAATTGATAAAGACACCAGATGCTTTCTTATTAAATCGAATACGCACCGCTCTAAATGTTTTCTCGGCTTTTCTTTTCATATCCATCAATTCATCTTCGATTATTTTGAAAATATATTCCGGACAGAAGATACTACAGTTCACTACCCTTTTTATTACCAACTGATGTCCAACTTTATTTGATAATGATGGCACTTCAGCAATCATTTGGGTTATTATGTCAGCAGGTACTTGATTCAACTTTAAAAAGGCTTTCATATGTTTACTTCGTGGAGTATCATCCTTGGCTGCACGCTGATGCATTTCTTTCTGAGGAATATGTACACCAATCCTAGCCTTATCTGTAAACTTTACAAGCAAGTTCTTAAGATCCTCACAATATTGGCTGTCAGTTTTCATTTTTAAAGGTGCATGTCTTGGAACTGACACCCTTTTGCAGGTAATGTCTGAAGTCTGTTGAATTGCACGTTCTATGTCTTCTTCTGTGATATCTGACCCAAGTCCTCTTAAAAACAAAGAACTTGCATCATTCTTTTTGAAGCTGCAAAGTATTCTTGAATTTTTGACAATTAACCCATTTAAAGCTGGCAACAATAGGGATGCATCAGCAACATTTTCACATGTGATGAATGCAAATCGTTTTGATGGACCAGTTTTCCAAGTTGCAACGAGCTCCTGTTCTAATCCACGTATTTGTTGACCTCCTTGGCAAACAGCTTTGCATTTCATGGTATTATCTTCTGGAAAAAGTTGCTGTGCTCTTTGGGCAATAAGGGGAGATATAAATGTAACCTTGCCCCAGACACCACGTTTAGCTTGTTTGCTATGAGTAGGAAAGGTGAAAACATCATGAATATTGTTTTTCAAATCTTCATTCTCAAGCCAAAAATATAGGTATATAGAACTTTCATCAGTAACATTACTGACTTCTAAAGTTCTAAAATCGTCTGGCATCAAAATGAATTTTGGTTCAGCCCCTTTGCCAAGGACCTGTCGAACGCCAGACAATGAGTTTCCAATATTAACCTCAAGTTGCTGTTTTTCAAGGGATGAGCGTTCCTCAGAAACAGTCCTCTTGACTAATGTTGATGTTTCAGCTGCTACATTCTTCGAAACGAATACATCTACAGTGCCTTTTTGGTTGTTGCATTCAATTACACACACTGTTTTCATGATAGAAGAATCCACTCTCTTCACCAAGGACACTTGTTCTTCAAGCTTTCTTAACCCTTGTCCCCTTTTTCCGATGATACGACCCATAAGTGTTGCTCCAACATTATGCACAATCTCCTCATGTACTTGATTCTCGCTTAATAATTCAAAATCAATACATTCTGCTAAACAAGGTACAACTTCAAATATCCAGTCATGCTCTACTGGTGTAAGATTGACAAGAAAATCTTGAGTTGTACGACTGAGTTCAGTGTAGATTATCCACTTCGGAAAGACATCTAACGATTTCAACGATGAAGATGGGTGTAATATGCCAGTCTTCAGCTGGAAAACAATGGTATAACCAGCTTTGGGATGTCCGTTATATATGCACAAATTCTGAGCATAAACCGAGAGTAAAATCTTGCGCAGACACTGGCTTCTTTTTTCATCCTTCCAATTGATGATATCACAGCTCTTGCCGACAAGAATATTGTTAGACTTTAAAGATGATTTGATATCTTTCACATAATCTGTGACAATTTTCATAGTTTTTCCATTTATGCTTCGTCTAATGCACCATTTTGTTCTTCCTTTTTCTGGTTGGCGTTTCCATTCGTCATAAACATCTAACATTGTAAATACATCACCAAGTATATTACTAAAATCTAGTTTTGATTCATCTGATTTGCGTTTTTGAACATCTGATCCTGAACGGTAGAAGACATTACCACCAGCTGCAAGCAGACCAGCAACAAGTATACCTTCTTCAGCCATGTTATTCTCAATTGATGACAGTACCAATTTTGCCAAACGTGGCTCCAATGTCAATGAGGACATCTGACGTCCAACGTCAGTCAGATCATGGGAATCTTTACTTACAGCTCCAAGAAACTCTAGCATGTTTAAAGCTTCTCCTAAAGCACCTTCCTGGGGTGGTTGGACAAATTCAAAGTGTTCAACATTCTGAATACCAAGCTGAAGAAGCTGAAGTACCGCCATTCCAAGATGAACTCTTAGAATTTCTGGCTTGTTATTTGATTCCATTTCATCATAGTCCTTCTCTGAATACAGCCTAAAACATTTACCGGTTGATGTTCTACCTGCTCTTCCCTTTCTTTGCTCAGCTGATGCCTTACTAATCATTGTTACTTCCAACACACTCATGTTTCTTTTCGGATCATATCGGCGCTCTTTGGCCATTCCTGTATCAACGACATACTTTATACCATTTATGGTAACTGATGTCTCGGCTATATTTGTAGCAAACACTACCTTCCTCTTACCTGCTGGAGTCTCAGTGAATATAGCCATCTGGTCCTGTGGTTGAAGTTTTCCATGTAATGGTAGTATCTGCACATCACCGTTATCCTCCACTATTCCCAATCGTTTTGCAAGATCACCACATGCTCTTTCAATTTCATTAGAAGATGTCAAAAATACCAAAATATCTCCAGGCTCCTCTGTCTCGTGTATTAACTGAGCCATCTGTACAGCTTCTTTTACATAATCAGTTTTGACTTCATATGTAGCATCACTGGTAAATATTGTCTCAACTGGAAACACTCTGCCAGGAATCTTCATATAAGGACAATTATTGAAGTATTTGCAAAATATCTGTTCATCAATTGTTGCTGAGGTTATGACAATTTTCAATTCTGGCCTTTGAATAGAAACTTGTTTAAGTTGAGCAATCAAGATATCTGTGTCTATAGAACGTTCATGTGCTTCATCTATGATAATGCAAGAGAAATCTTCAAGCTTTGGATCTTGTAAAAGCATATTAAGAAGAACCCTATCAGTCAAAAAAGTTATGACGGTGTTCAAACTTGTTTTCCGGAAAGAGCCAACTATATGGCCAACTTCATCTCCCACTTCACAACCAAACTCTTCAGCGACTCTCTTAGCAAGCGAAATTGCTGCAACCTTTCGTGGCTGTGTGCATGCAATTCGAATTTTGGTGTCAGTTGGGATTAGAATGTCTGAATTTGCTAAATATTGAGCAATTTGTGTGCTCTTTCCAGATCCAGTTTCACCTAAAATAACGCATGCGCTATTCTCTGGACTAAACACAGCACTGACAATATCACATCTGTAAGCGTATATAGGTAGTGGATTCTCTGCTTTTCTTATTTCACGCCATAGATAATTTCTCATCTTCCCTACTGTACCTATTTGGTCTGCCTGGTTGATTTTACATAACATGCATTCCGAAAACTGTTTTAACTCCAGTTTAAACTTTAAAAGTTGTTGACTTTTGAATGTTAAATCTTTCCTTATAACATCAATAGCTTCAGCTTCTTCAAGAGGAACAAACTTATGTCTACGGTTATTGTTTATTTCTGTTATACGTTGTTTAAGATCCTTAATTTCTTGATCCCACTGAAGTATGATTCTTGACACTGATCCATTCATCTCCTCCTTTAGCTTGTCTTTAAGGTCATTGAATATTGTATTTTCCATGTCTAAATCACGCTTTCGTAATCTTATGTCCAATAACCTGCCTTTGTATTTAACTCCATAATTTTCCCGTAAAGCTTGTATGGCTAAACTACGTGATGGGTAGACTAATAAAGCTCTGTCTTTTGTAATTCTGATATCACGTGGTTTTACTGTACACCGTTCTGTCACTAATTGAGCTACCTCTCCTTGTTGTGTTTTTGGTGGAAGGTTAAGTATTTCAAGTACTTTTGCATCTTCTAGCCTTGGTTTTTTCTTAACCAAAAGCCGGGAGTGCATTTTGTGTTGTTCTTCAGCTGCTTTACCACTGGGGATTGTATTTTCCTTAAAATCCCTAGTATCAGACGTGCAATGCTGAGCTTGTGCCTTAGAGGCACGAGTCCTAGAATCACGGGAATGAGACCTGACGCTTTTCTGATCTAGTATTTTTGCATCTTTTAGGCATTTTGGTTGTTGTTTCCTAGGCTGGGAATGCATTTTGTGTTGTTCTTCAGCTGCTTTACCACTGGGGATTGTATTTTCCTTGAAATCCCTAGCATCAGATGCACAATGCTGAGCTTCTGCCTTAGAGGCACGAGTCCTAGAATCACGGGACTGAGACCTGATACCTTTCTGATCTAGTATTTTTGCATCTTTTAGGCGTTTTGGTTGTTGTTTTCTAGGCTGGGAGTGTATTTTGTGTTGTTTTTCAGCTGCTTTACCACTGGGGATTGTATTTTCCTTAAAATACCTAGTATCAGACGTGCAATGCTGAGCTTGTGCCTTAGAGGCATAAGTCCTAGAATCACGGGACTGAGACCTGACGCTTTTCTGATCTAGTATTTTTGCATCTTTTAGGCGTTTCGGTTGTTGTTTCCTAGGCTGGGAGTGCATTTTGTGTTGTTCTTCAGCTGCTTTACCACTGGGGATTGTATTTTCGTTGAAATTCCTAGTATCAGACGTGCAATGCTGAGCTTGTGCCTTAGAGGCATAAGTCCTAGAATCACGGGACTGAGACCTGACGCTTTTCTGATCTAGTATTTTTGCATCTTTCAGGCGTTTCGGTTGTTGTTTCCTAGGCTGGGAGTGCATTTTGTGTTGTTCTTCAGCTGCTTTACCACTGGGGATTGTATTTTCCTTGAAATCCCTAGTATCAGATGCGCAATGCTGAGCTTCTGCCTTAGAGGCACGAGTCCTAGAATCACGGGACTGAGACTTGATACGTTTCTGATCTAGTATTTTTGCATCTTTTAGGCGTTTTGGTTGTTGTTTTCTAGGCTGGGAGTGCATTTTGTGTTGTTCTTCAGCTGCTTTACCACTGGGGATTGTATTTTCCTTGAAATCCCTAGTATCAGATGCGCAATGCTGAGCTTCTGCCTTAGAGGCACGAGTCCTAGAATCAAGGGACTGAGACCTGATACGTTTCTGATCTAGTATTTTTGCATCTTTTAGGCGTTTTGCTTGTTGTTTTCTAGGCTGGGAGTGCATTTTGTGTTGTTCTTCAGCTGCTTTACCACTTGGACTTGAATTTTCATTGATAGAGGTTACATCAGTATCATGAACTTCAAAATTCTCAAGTATTAGGTTTTTGCACATTTCAGCTTCATTCCTGGAATTACACTGCACAGTTACATTCGATGTATCTTCACCATAATTGCTTTTTAAGAGATTAAAACCAACATACTTCATTTCATGGTTTTCAAAAAATGTTATTTGATCCTGAGATAAAGGAACACATGACATTGGAAAGCCCTGAAAATGATCAACAGTTGGTTGTGAGTTAAATGTTTTCTGAGGGTCCCAGCATCGAGAACGGACCCGAGTATCAGATGATCTTGCCCCAAATTTACATTGCTGAGCCTGTGCCCTAGCGGTACAAGGTCTAGAATCACGAGACTTCGACCTCATAGGTTTCTGATCAATATCATGTGTTTTCTTTCCTTCTTTGTAACCATGATGAGTCTGTTCATTCTGTCTTCTTCTTTCTTCTCTGCTGCCTTGATTCGCCCTGCTCTCAGAAGAATTCCGTCTGCGAGAGCGATGCATTTTGTCTTTCATCTGTAAATAAAATAACCTTTATTAACACTCTGCCCGCCCAACGCAAGGCTTGACCGCCAAACACGGAGATCTCCATGTTCCAGGTTTTTTACAGAATCCGATAGATGGGGTAATTACCGACATGTACTAACAATTTGAACACTATATTCAGTCTGGACTGCAAGTATTTCACTATTTGTTTGTTTACATTTGCGTAGAGTGGTATTGATTTACTTTCACAAAAATCATGATTATCTCGGCTTCGTTCATAAATCTCTAAAAGTGAGTTATCTTCATTTTACTGTATGGGTCATAGAATAAAGTGTTTGGTACCATTGTACTGTAAAGCTAAAAGTAAAACGTTCGTAGTTCTTGTAGTATTCACTACTGTACATGTCAATGATATTAACTTTCCTGTTGGCAAGGGCCTTGTAGATGTGTTGCTGGTAACCGAGTACAAACCTCCCTTTAATAAACAAACAGAAATTTTGCATTTATATCAAGAATTTTGCCAGTCCACCGACATAAAAAAATGTACACACATGGTTTGGACTCAGATCTGGGGTTTTACCAGAAATTATGATCTATAATCTGTAAGCCTAACACCCTGGTTCTTCTGCAGGTAAATTTGGTTGCGAAGAAAATTATTCTGGCTTGTGTGTAAAAATGAAATTATAAAAAAAAATATACTGTACAGTATTTAAAGGAAATAAAATTAATAACCATTCGATGAATATTTTTCCAAAAGTGAAGGCCAAAACACAACACCGGGCCAACGTGAAGTAGGGGTGACCCCACCCAGATCTAGAATTAAATCCGCTACCAACTAATCAACTAATGCCAAAAGATTGGTAGTCTTAGTTGAGCTAAAAACTACATAACAAATTAAAAATAAAACGCATACATCAGAGTGATGAACAAAATTATTTTAACAGCCATGAGTAAACATGTGAGTAAACATATGCTGCTGCTGCTATGCATTGGGGAAAAAAGGCAACAAATAATATTCAATTGGCCAGGCAACGACATTTTGTTCAATAGTTACCAACCTGAAAGATTTAAAATGTGTGATTTGAAACGCGGACCAGGGGCCACCAGAGTTCCTGCCAGGGTCCATGGTCGGAGCCCCGGTGGTGGTTTTCGGGGCGAATCCCCCTGGCGCTCAGATGATCTGAGCATTTTTAAGCTGTTTTGAGGGAGTGTTTGTTGACAATACCCGGTACATATATTAAACAAACATAGTTTTAATAGTAGCCAAGTACAATTCTTGTTTCAATGTATGTTTAATTTGAGCACCCAAACTATGTACACAAACATTTCTTTACTTTAACAAACAAAAAATGAATGTGTTGAATGAACCTTTCCTATCATTCAACACTATTTCTACACCTCCTGTTATACTCCTACACCTCTGATTCTTAGTTAATTTGTTTAAACAGCTAACATTTTTTTTAGTTAGGCTCACAGGCCAAAGATAATATCTGAGTACCGGTAAAGCAACTCGTTATAATGTTTTTGGTAATTTCAATGTCTACCTTTTGTTGTGCTACACAACAATAAATGGTAACAAATTCTGTAACTTTTTAATAGTGTAACCTTACAACAATTAGAAAATAATTAATTGATATAGAGAGAAACTTGTCAGTTGACATCAAACACACAAAATACCAAATAAAAAAATAATAATGTTCTCTGCCTTATAAAGTATAATGAACAAAACCTAATGAAAAAAAAATCAATGGGAAAACAATGGGAAGAACAATACATCAAAAAAATGGGGAGAAATAGCCTATTAAGAACCATGATCCTATATTTTTGGAGTCCATAGGAGGTCAACTTTATCCACCATAACCATAACCAGTATTAATTAACCATACCAATCAATTTTTAACGTGTCAGTGAAATAAGTATTTCATGTAAATACTGTACTTTAAACTGACTGCGTGCGTGTGTTCGATGTCAACTGACAACTTCAGTTTCAGTAAAAATAAACGCGCATGATCGCACGCACCTTCAAGGCTCTCTGTGAATTGAATCTGAAACGAGATAATGAAAGACCTCTAATGACTCAAGTTACTGCATGACCGTTTTTATATAAAACTAATTCTTCTAATTTTAAATACATTTTCGTGATTATTTGTCATCACGCCTAGACTTATACTAGTGACAAATTTATGATCACGCATGTGTTTCTGCAAAATGCATGTTACATCAAAAAATCACATTAATATGCTGAAGCGTCCCGCACGATGTGAGACGGTTGGTAAATGTTGTTCTGTCATCTAAAACGCCGTGGCTAGAGATACGGTACCGTATTTCTACTTCGTTGCTAAGGTACGGTAAATGGCATTACGTCACCATCACCCAATGAAATGCCAAAATGTGCGTGACGTCATTTTTTGAAGACTGGCATTGCAGGTCACCCGCAATGAGCGGTGGAAGGAAAACGATCATTGTAGTACTGGGAAATTAGAACATCAAAAGTACAATATTGTTTGACTTTACTGTCATCCTTAAATAGGCGTATGGTTCCACTTTATAGTAAAAGTAGGCCTGTATGAATTCTCTTGTTTACAGTATATACATTTTTTTATTGCAAGTGTTGTCATATAAATAGATTACCAAAGACGTGCAGTAGTGTGTGTATACATAGTGCCTTGGCCTACTGTAAGTCCTGAGGATGATGCCTTGCTTGATAAGGCTATATAATGATATGACTTTATTATTGAGTGGTACGCCTATTTTTCTATGACAGTATTAAGGTCTGCATCAAAATTATTGGAAAAATTTGACTCAATTGTAATAATCACAAAGGGGAAACCTATTCTCTCGATCTAGGCCTAGATTCTGTACCATAACAGTGACGAAGTCTAGCCCTACGAAAAGTTTTGTGCATTCAAATTGTACGAATATTTTGGTGGGATTGTAAAGCGTGGTATTATTTCAAACTTCTTGGACTAAAACTTGGGATGTAGGGATTATGAAGTTCAGACGGTATGATGACGGAGAAACTAGGCTAAGTTTATGACTGATATAGGCTTATGCCACTTTAATGTCACCAGAGCAGCTGCCGTGAAAAGCAGAATCCAAGCAAGGCCGAGCAGGCTTGCTTAGATTTTTCGCCAAGCGAAGAATTTAAGCAAGGCCTAGAGGCATGCCAAGAGTTTGGTGGAATCAGTCCTTGTTTGATAATGGTTATACATAGGCCTAGCTAAATGAAACTCTTTACTAAATGGAAGCCTATTTATCGATAACAGTACTAAGTCAAACAATATTGTACTTTTTGATGTTCTAGTTTCCCAGAACTGTACATCGTTCTCGTTTCACCGCTCATCGTGGGTGACCTGCAATGCAATGCCAGTCTTGAAAAATGACGTCACGCACATTCTGGCACTTCATTGGGTGATGGTGACGTAATGCCATTTACCGTACCTTTAGCAAATTGAAGTAGAAATACGGTACCGTATCACTAGCCACGGCGAAAATTAAAATATTCATGGAGTTTTGACTGTATTTGATGCCAGGACCATATATAATCATGGTTTTGTGTTTCCAAAACATCGTTTATACTGTAGTTGTTACGAATAACAGGAAGGCGGTCATGACATGTATTGTGTTTGTTGTACAGACGTGCGTGCACAGTATAGTAGAGTCATTTTCATGAGATCCGTGACTAAATTTAGGATACCTTTTTTTCTCGATGGATTTGGCAAGATGGACCAATTTAGATAAAATATAGCTCCTATATACCTCCCAGATATGGGGGGAAAGTCCCGTTTGGGGGCGTTTTTCAAAATGGCCGCCTGTTTATTTGGACACTTGTATCTTGATAACCACTGGTCAGAGAGACTTGATTTTGGTCTCATATTGTTTACAATATGCATGTTTCTATTTGTTGTAATACAACTTTTTTTCACAAAATAGCGGGAAATGCGGTTTTTGAAAGTTTGACCTTTGACCTTGTATTGTCATATCTCGGTAACTACTGGTCACAGAGACTCACAATTGATTGCAAATTGTTCAGGAGATTCATGTTTATATTCTTAATGAAAGCAATATTCAAATAGTGACCGGAAATGGTACATTCTGACCTTTGACCTATTGTAGGGTCATTCCATGTCAAATCAACCAGATTTTTAAAAAAAATTCCTGTATGATGGTCTCAGATTTTCACGCAACGCATTAATCATGAGACAGTGTCCAAAAAAATTTAAAATCTATGACCCTGGTGTATATGCATTTGTTGAGTTGGCATAGAATGACCCAACTCTTAAAAACTTTAGTGATTTCCGATTATGTTATTGTGTAGTTTTCAACATAGTATCTAACCATGAAGGAGCTGAGTACCAAAGCTGAAACTTGGTTTATAGGTAGATCTAATATATCTGATTAACTGGGGTAAATTTAAGCAAAGATTTTAAATGTCCAAATGACGATCCGTTGTTGAGAAACATAGGCGTTTTTTACTTTTATAGATCTGGTCCCAACTTTGAATATATGCCATTCAATTTTAATTGAGTTGATCAGCCTGCGCTTGCATGTGGCTAAAGACAACTACACTTAGATAATATATCTGTAATATGAAGTGTATATGCGCACTCAAATGGACGCAGGATGACCTCGAAAATCACAAAAAAAATTGCATCGTTAAAAAAATTGGCTACTTTGAGTGCAGATAACTTCAAACGGGAAGGGATAACTGTTAATCTAAGGCCATATTTGTGAAATACGGCGAAAAATAAGTTAGAATACCATGTTTGACCCTGATAGCTATTACCAATCTCAAGTTATAAGCTTCCAAAGTTGAATTGCGTATGCACATCTTGAAGACACCACGCCCCTTTTTTGAGGAGTCAATATCTCGGAAACTATATATCCTATAAG